CCCCCCCCCCAATGCAACCACCCAACCTGACCAAATTCCTTTACATCATGGCAGAAATTAGCAGAGTTCCAGACATCAGCGCCTTGGTGGTGCCGTGGGTGATGCATTGAATGTCTAACCTCAAAGTTAGCAGCTACAATCCAGCAGTAGCTCCACGGGAGAAACATAAGGCTTTCTGCTGTGGCCTACAGCCTCACAAGCCCATAGGGGCAGTTCTATGCTCTCCCCAAGGGTCACTTAGTCAGAATCAACTGGATGGCAGTGAGCCCAGTCACACTGTGAGTCATACTGTGAGGCCACATCTCCCGCAGAAAGGAATAGGAGGGTGTTCTCCCTGTGTGAATAACTACTTTCATGACAGATGCAGTCTCATTCTAAGAATCAGGAACCCTTGGTTCAAGTCTTAAGCTCTACCATTATCTGGCAAAGTCCTCTAAGCTTATGCTTTCTGAGTCAATAAATTGAGATAGCAGTACCTATGTGACAAAATGAGCATGACACTTAAAACATAACTTAAGGGAAGGCATTCTCGGAGGCATAAATCGCAACACCTGTGAGCAGTTGATAGGAAAGAGAACCCATGAAATGAACCTTGTCTCACCATCACTATTTGCAGCCACCATTTAACAATTTGTTGGATAAATATCTTTAAGTTCTGTCTAAATAAATGAATTATTGTGCTTTGGAGGTGAAGAAAGTTCAAAGGTCTTGATGTCAATGAAATGTACAACTTAGGAGAAAGACCAGCAATCTTGGGGCCCAGAGGGGCCATCCATCTCGACCGACTGGGTAGCTGTGAGTCAGAATCGACTTGATGGTAGTGAGTTTGGTTTTGGGTTTTAGGCCCCTAAAGAGGTCCAGTGCTTTTATTTCTTATGCCAGTCAAAAAGGCACAAGGTTATGAAGAGAGAAACCATGGCTAGTATGTTTACCTAGTTCAAAAGTTAGATCCCTGTTTATCACAGCAACACAATTTAAAACCAATTTGATCTGTACTCTTGTCACTCAAATCACAATTTTTAAAAATGTTTTAGTAGAAAATAAGTTGTGTAGTCAGAAAGAAAAATGTTATCACCCTTTTCCCAGGAACAATGTAACACATAAAATAATCTTTCAACATTCGAACCACTGACCACCTCAAATGAAAGAATTTCTCACACTGGAGTGTGGCTTAAATGCTTTATTAAGTTAAGCATGCAATTTGAAAATGGCCCACAAGAAATTTCACAATTGTAAAAGAAGTCAATGAAAAGTACAGAGTTAACAGTAAAATTACATTTCTTTACAGTACGAATGAACAGTTTGTTTCTGCTATTTTGCCTGAAAGTCGTATATTCTCCAACTGATAGCTGCAATATTGTATCTTTATACAAAATGTCATAGTTAATTAAATCACATTGTTAATAACAGGTTTATCACTTGGGCCACAAATCCCCATGTATAGGAGGCTATGAAAGCCTCTTCAATATATAGATATGTTCTTGTTCCCCTATTAAATCCTGGAGAGGTATTAAATTAATACTGTAAACTTGAATTACACTTGAAAAATAAGCACCACTGACATATATTCTACATAAACTTACACTACCTACGTGAACATTTATATCTATTTCACCATATAAATAAAAATGAACAATATTTAACCACTATGCAGAAAAGTTACCAAATTCCACTGCAGAGTGGAAACAAGACTTTTAAAAGCACTTGGTAAAAAATACTACACATTCTTTGTCGTTCTTTTTAAAATATATTTTGTTACTTTCTTAAATTCAGAAACATTGTCAAAGCAATCCTGAGTTTACAATTTTCCAATTTCCAGCACAGAGAAAACCAGTCCTGCTGTTGCACCTGTCCGTCTCTAAGCATACAACACGGTGGAATTCACAATGAAATAGCCACACTAAAGGCAGGAAACGAATTCCAAGAGAATTGTTTGACTTCATTTCCTTTTTCACAGAAGGCATACAAGACACTTTAAAGTAAGTCACAATTTCTAACTGTAAAATATTATCTTATATTTACAGACCATACAATTGTCAATAATAAAGAAATACGAATACTTTGAAGAAGATGCTATTGAAAATTCGCACAGACACAGGAGTGGCCAATAAATGTTAAGAAAAGCTGCTTCCATTTCTCACGTTGGAGTAAGGAGCTGGGAGGATTGAAAATACTGCTAAAAGTGGCCCTCCTCCTTCCCCCACAAAATCACATCAGTTCTTTCTTCTTCTTCTTTTTCCCTGGTAAGTACCCTTGCGACTATTGAGAAGACGGAATTCTTAGGAAACAATCTCCAAACTACAAAAATAGACTTTTAAAAATATTTTAAAGTATCAATTATATTTACAACATATCATCCTCATGAAGCATGTATTGCTACAACACTTGAATAGCCCGGAACTAGCTAGAAGTGGACAGAGAAAAAAGGAGTCTAAAACTCTCAGTCTATGTGGTGCTCCAGTCAGTATAAACAGGAGACAATTTAGGCTTCAGCACTGTCATATAAGCACATATGATGTTCAAAGTGAGCCTACCTATGAAGTAATAATGTTTAAAAAATGCTAGCTGATCTACCAAAAAAAGGCATGAAATTCCCGTTGACACATGGTTCTTTCATTTGGCTTCTACTCACAAAATACTGCACCTCTAGTCTTTTTTACTGTCCTCCATTCATCCATTCAGCTGAGGTAAGTCTAACTGAAGGGCGCCAGAGGACACTTTTTTTAATGTTTTAAAATAACACTGTATGAGGAACTGTAAAAACACAGCAAGTATGTATAAAAGCTAGAAACACTCTTATAATCGGGTTTTCATTGTACAGAGGAATGTTTGCTTTTGCTAATTATCTATTGCAGTTCTGTATTTATTTTTAATGTATACAATTCTCACAGACATTACCAAAAAATGTACACTAAATTGCTGACATTTCTTCAGGTTTTTTAAACAAATGATTACATACATAAGAATGTGAATAATGTTTTGATGCCATTCATTAATCACTTCTGAATAATAAACATGTTCTGATTGTTGTAAAATAAAGTTCCTTGATAAGGCGCTTCTCTTAGATGCATTCAAATATAAAAATGGAGATTTTTTTTTTTTTAGTTTTAGTTTCATTCAAATATTTGTTTGTTTGCAAAATCATTGTGTAGTGCATGATTCACTCTAACAGTTCAATTCTGATTCAAATAATTTTTTAAGCTTAAAAATAAAAGCAATGTAGTTGTTTGCTAAACTTACTTATGTTGAAAATACTCTCCATCTCTAAAGTCGAATTTATTTAAGCCTTTATATCTCATACTGGAAAATTGTGCTTGAGACACATGGAACTTGTACCAGGGGGATTATCACTAAGATACTAATAGTTCACCAAATAAGTCAATGAACGTTTATTTTCAGAAAGCTGGCTCTTTAAGAAAACATCAAAGTAAAAAAAATGTTTTAAAAAATTACAATGCTTTCTTTTTTACAGTTTGATTAAAAAGGTTTTCTATATGTTTCAAGTGAATAGGATTTGTACTTACTGTGGTTTACAAATTACATGCCTCAAATACAAAATAAAGCTATTTAGTAGTGTCTTACATGCCATATACACCGACAATTCTAGAAGCAGTTCTAAAGGCAGCAATATTTGATGGATAGCTAACTACTTGTCCCTTCTTTGAAAACGTTTCTTCCTGTCAAAGGTTTAACACTGTAGTGTGATCTCAGATTCACCTTGTCTCCCAGAAGACACAGCACACATAAAAAGAAGAAAGGGACACAGGTACAAGACGGAGATCACAGAAACAGATAAAGTACAAGAGCATGGCTTCCTGACTGCAGCTTGTGGCGGAATGAAGTGACTGCAGGTGTTCTGCTTTGAGGTAAGGGAAGAATACAAGTGTTTTTGTCAGACCTCCTTTTTTTACTACTACTTCTAATGTTTAATTTTTTTTAATCACAAGCATTTGAAAGGCATGAATCCTGCTTCGAAGTACATTATTTGCCCTTTATCAGAGCCTTTGGCCTCTACAAAATATCACGACTCGTGGTACACAAACTAACATTTTTTTCTCTGAACAAATCAGACAACATGAAATCTTAAAACTGTAGCTAAAATTTTTCACAAACATTTTCTAATCTATTAAAATTTTTAATATTGTTAGTGAGCAATATATTTGGGAGGTGGTTCAGTTAAAAAAATAAAATTCTCTTGAATTCTGGCAATTCTTTCTCTCTTTTTACAAGGGGAAACTTTCTAATAAAGCATTTATCTACAGTGGAACCGACTAAATTGTGGCAAATAAAATTAATTTTTACCTACGAACATTCACAGTCCTAAGTCAAGTGGTTATTTTTACTTTAGCATGACTTTCAAGCACCCTGGTTCAATTTCGGAGAACCTGTTAAAATAAATAAATAAGTTATTTTTAAAAATTAAAATGTTGATTGTCTTAGGAAATGCATATCCTTATAACCAATTCCAACTCCCTATGTATAATGTAATATATATTATCAAAGCAATCTTCACTATTAATCACATCTATGACTAATATCTCTGCTTATGTTTCTTTTTTAACATATTGTCAAAACAAATACAATCCTACGGTTGGGGTTACTGAAATTTTAAGTGACTACTTAAGCCTGAATTTGATCTTCACAAAGAACACGCTGTACAAGGATGATGTCTGTAGTACAGTATCTCTGCGTATTAGGTAAGTCCAAATCTAAACTCACTGCCATTGAGTCAATAACGACTCATAGAGACCTGATAGGACAGGGTAACTGCTCCTGTGGGTTTCCCGTAACTGTTTAGGACAATAGAAAGCCTCATCTTTCTCCCCAAGAGTGACTGGTGGTTTCGAACGGCTGATCTTGTAGTCAGCAGCCCAACTCGTAACCACACCACCACCAGAACTCCTCTATCAGGGATGGACCAAGCAAAAATCTCTCTGGCACAGCAGCTGAGTCTGATTCCCCTGACCATGCAATACCTCCAACCCCTCCAGTGTGAAACTTAGAAGAATCATTAACTACTCTTTTTGTCAAAATGACTCTAAAATGTCATCCTGTTTTTATGCTCAGAATTAGTGCTACCCGTTTCTCTAAGACGGTCAGATAATATTTTATGACAAATATGTTACACTAGTTGAAATTAGGGGTGGGAATGACTATGATACATATATTGAGTGAGTCTATCCATCAACAGATCTTTGGCTATGGAATAATGAATACTTAAATGAAGAAGGGCATTCCATGACCCTCCACTAGAATCATTTATGGCATCTAACTTGTGAAAAGGTGTAAATTCAACTTAACTTGCACATTTTGACCAAGGTTCATATACATACCCAAAATATAACCAGGTTTCAGCAAAAACCTCCCTATCCCATCCCAAATCCAAAATCCATTTCTTCTTTCAAGAGAACAATTTAAATTTTTGTCTGTTTTTATCATTTTAGGGGTCTCTTACAGCTCTTATAACAATTCATACACCAATTGTATCAGTCACATTTGTGCATATATTGCCACCAACATTTTCAAAGCATTTTCTTTCTACTTGAGCCCTTGGTATCAGCAACGCTTTTTTCCCCTCCCTTCCCCACCCTCTCAACCTGGTGAACTCTTGATAAATTAAAATTTGTTATTTTCTTATCTTACACCATCCACCGTCACCCTTCATCCATGTTTCTGTTGTTCGTCCCCCTGGAGTGTGATCATTGCAATCAGATCCCCCTGTCTCCCCCTTTACCTTCCACCTTGCCCCTTCCCTCATGGTATCACTACTACCATTACTGTTTATCTGAGGGGTTTAATCTGTCCTGGATTCCTTGTGTCAAGGGCTCTTATCTGTACCAGTGTACATGCTCTGGTCTAGCTGGATTTGTAAGGTAGAACTGGGTTTGAGAGAACAATTTATGAGCAAATCCTAAACTATAATAGATTTCATTTCGCTTTTTTTTTCTTCAGATTTTAAGTTTGTAAGATAGCATTTGGGTGGAACTAGTGGCACATGAAGTTAACTACTTCCACCAGTTGTTCTAAGCAAACCATTAGTGTTTACCCAGGTATATATGGGCCATTGTCACTATCAGATACAGAAATCTATACTCACTTGAAGCCATGACTGGTGAGGTATTTAATAACAGCAGGTTTGATGCGAGCAACGCCTCCCAGGCTGTGGTTTCCTCTCCCAGTGATCACACTGAGATAGGGCTTGCCACCACTCTGCCTGAATTCTATTACAACAAGAATTGCAAGAGGTCAAGTTCATTTATATGATGCTTTCCATGGGAAACATACTTCGGTTCAAACAAGTATAAAATTGCTTTCATAAAGACTTAAAAGAGATTTAGTACCCTTTAGCAGTAAAGGCCCCTAATGCACACTGCAAAAAGTGTGTTTTCTCTACACTGCTAAGTCAGAAAGTCTCCTTCTAGCTGAAGACTTAAACGGGGCTCCTTCCCCAGCAGGGAGGGAGATTTTAGTGTGCCACCAGAAGTCCTGAGACAATGGCATGTTAATGATGCTTACCAATTATGGAGTCAGGCACTGCTCTAAGTATTTACCCAGTTGCAGCTGAGGATCAGCATAGCTTAAACCCTGGGGAGTACTGCTGTGAAGGCATCAAGCTCTAGGCTGAAGCAAAGCTCTGCTACTTGACATGAGTTTTTCTGCCTCTGTGTTTTCTCATCACTACAGTGGAATGGCAACAGCACTACTTTATAGACTATCCTCCCAGCCCCCACCCCTTGGGAACTGCTAATAGCAAATTCAACCAATTACATCATTCACTGCAGTCCTACTTTTAACGATAACCAATTCTTAGCCTAAAGTCTCCCAGAAAAGATGATGTTTAAAGTCTCAAATGAGCCTGCACCCACTGAGCAATGGAAAGGCTGCCGTTCCTGCTTTGGGTGTAAACTGGTGAAAACCAAGGATCTGAATCCTCAAAACCAATAACCACGACCACAGAATATCAGAACCTGTTAATAATACAATTATGATTGATTTAATGAATTTAGTAGTGGATCCTTGTTTACAAATCGCCCCCATTGACTTCTAGCATAAAACACATGTCCATAAAACATAATATAAACATTCCACATTTTGTTCATGAAGTTGTTCAGACTCCAGCTGAAAGATAGACACATGGTTTTTCAAGTCTTTATGTGCCCAGTGCAATGTTCAGCCTTTCCTTTGAAAGGGGCATATTGTGCTTGCCTGTCTAACTCCTTACCCTTGTTTAAGATCTTCCCATTTCGACTCTAAATGTTAGGTAGTCAGTCTAGCGTAAGGCACTGGGGCATTCACTAACCCATGCTCAGGGGCCAAGCTATGGAGACAAAGGAGTGGCACATTGCACATGCTCAGAGGTTCAGGTTTCCCGCCAGGTACGCGTGGATGGGTGCTGCACCTGGATTGGCCCACCTAGGCCAGGCAAATTCAATTCAGCCAATGGGGTCGACCAGAGGTTGTCCACTACGCCTCCCCGCAGAATAATTTAAAAGGCAGGAGCCCAGAGTCGACCATGTTACTCTGCGAATAGTTTCCAGGCAGTCTGCACATTCAAGAGAAGCCCTGTGGGTGCCTGTGTAAACCTAAAACGTCTTCTAACGCTCATAAAACTCACTTGGATCACAAACCAGGCTTCGGTGTAAATTCTTCCTCATGCGGAGCCAAGGACAGGGTATATCTCTACCCTGAGAAATCTAACATAATCTGCATGTATTACTTCTAGATCTATTAGACTCAAGATTGAACTCTTAGAGTCCTAGCTTCCCAGTGTTCACTTTGTAAAGAGTTTTGCCACTACACATTCGTAATGTGTGAGTTGTTCTTTATGTGTATTATAGTACAAATAAGTTTACTTTACAAAAAAAATCTAACAACTAACCATCCTTCACTCGCATCATTTTTTTCAGTTCTGTTGTCCTTATAACTTAGGTCAGTCATGCGTAGCATGTCATTTGCTGCTCTGAAAATGTTCTCTAGTCAATCCCCATGCCTTATAGCAAGTCATTGGTCAAAAACTGTCAGTTGCATAAATTCATGTATATGTTTAATTCTGCAAATTAAGGCTGTTTCTGCAGTGAATCACCTAAAAGGAAAACTGCTGAAATTTTTAATATGTTGTGATTTTGGAGAAAATTCACATAGCAAATTCGGTTCTCATTTAACAGTTTCTATACATTATTATTTGGTGACACTGGTCACTTGCTACATAGTATGTCAACATTCTCATTGTTTCCACTCTAGTTGTTCTGTTCTCTTTAATCTAGCTTCCTTGTCCCCCACTTACTAGCTCATCTTTGGTTTAGGGTAAATGTTGACCATCAGGTCTCATGTAGATTTTATGAGCTACTATTTTTTTACTGATGTCCAACTTTAAAGAGTATCCCAGGGCGACAGTCTCAGTGGTTCCTCTAGCTTCTACCAGTTCAGTAAGTTTTGTCTCTTCTAGTAATTTAAGTTTTGTTCTGCATTCCCCCACCCCATTCTATTCAGGGCTGTCTACTGTGTTCCTGGTCAGTCAGAAGTAGGAGCCAGGCACCAGCTAGTTCTTCTGATCTCAAGATAGAGGGGTTGTGGCTCATAAAGATCATAAGTCTTATAGACTAGTTTCTTCTTTAAGTCTTAGGTTTCCTTCTTTGTCTTCTGGCTCTAGATGTATGGAGACCAATAACTGCATCCTAGCTGGCTGTCACAAGGCCCCAGGACACTACTCAGCAAACCAGGAACATAGAGCATGATCATTATGTGCTATGTTTAAACCAATCGACCAAGTTGCCCTCACCCTGCACCTGATTGGTTAACTCTTTTTTAAGCACACCCAGAGATTTCTTATCTCAACCATATCATGAAATATCATGAAAAGGTAAAGGACTTTCTTAAAATCAGAGTCTCAATAATATGATCACATCTTATGAAATGAACAATAGCTCTTTACTACATCAATTTCTAAAAGTGACTAAAAACTTCTTAAGTATAAAGGTTCTTACTCCCCTTGTTTTTGACAAAACCTTTGTTAAACTTTTTTGAACATTTATCCTGTAACATTTCAGGACTAGATTTTGCTGCCTGTGTCCCCATGGTGTCATCTGACATGTTCCTCTGACCCAAGTTTATTCCTATCAAGTAGTAGTCAGATCTAAAGGTTTGATCTGCTTTGGATTTCACTTAGAGCCAGAAATACTTTATATCTCAAATTGTGTATTTTAACCAGAAGGCACATATGGCTCACATAGCTCTATTCTTTTATCTCTTTAGCATGTGATGACTAAAAATAAATCAAAACAGAACCACAGATTTTCATTGGTCACATACTCCCATCTCATGGTGGCTGATGGTGCTACCACACACTGATAATATATGCTGATGACACTACCACAGGCTACCATGGGCGACACCATGCACAAGATGGGCCCCAGTGCCAAAAATGGTCATCTTGAACTTTTTTAAGGTAAAATTCAGTTAATTTAAATGGACCGTTTAGAAGTATACAACTAAGTGGCTTATCATATATTCTACCTCTAGAAAAGAAACCTCATACTTCTTAGCAGTCATTCCCCACCTACTTTTACTTCTCCAGTCTCTGACAACCATTACTCTACTTTCTGTCTCTGTTTTTCTGATAAGTGCTGGTGAGCTGGTTCTGACCCATAGCAATCTACATACAATCGGCCAAAACCCTGCTATCCTCACAATCGTGGCTGTTGGAACCCATTGTTGCAGTCACTGTGTTAATGCATCTCACTCAGTGTCGTCTTGTTCACTCACCCAGACTTTGCTAAGTACGATGTCTATACTTCTCCAGGGACTGGTCCCGCAACATGATCATTTAAAAGTATAAATTCTTCTGCCTTCCTTATTCCTTGCCCAGCCTTCCCATACAGATTGAGGCGATTGAAAATACCATGGCTCGGGCCAAGTTCATCTTGGTCTTCCAAGTCTCTATGGGCTTGTTTATTCTGCACAGTTCATTTGTAAATGGAATCACATAATATGTGGCTTTTCTGACATCTTTCACTTCTTCATATTTTCAAGGTACATCCATGGCACAGAATGTATCAATATTTCATTCCTTTTAGGGCTAAATAATCTTCCATTGTCTAAATATGCCACTTTTCATTTATTCATTCATCAGTTGATAAACATTGGGTTACTTATACTTTTGGGCTCTCCTAGATAATGCTATTATAAATATTTATACACAAATTTTGTATGAATGTATGTTTTCATTCTCTTAGATATAAACCTAACAGCAAAATTAATAGGTGACATGGTGACTTTGTTTAGTTTTATAACTTAGTTATAAAGCTATAAATTATAGTTATTAACTTGGCTAGTTGTAGATGTATATCCACAGTAAATCTACAAAATTCCTCTATGGTTACAAAAAAGTTAAAGTTTCTGGTGTCACATTAAATTATTCATGTGAATTTTTCTATGATTTTTTTTTACTATGAATTTTTATTCTGATTAATGGGCACATGACATTTTATTATATCACTCTAACTTTCTCAACATGGTTGCTATCTCAAAACTCACTGCCATCATGTCAGTTCTGACTCAAAGTAACCCATAAGACAGAGTAGAACTGCCCCTGAGGATTTCTGGAACTGCAAGTCTTTATGGGAGTAGAAAATCTCATCTTTCCCCTGAAAGTAGTTTCAAACTGCTGACCTTGCAGTTGGTAGCCCAACGCATAACCCACTTCACCTTTCCTTACCCTCTATTAAGTACAAGAGTGAAGAAAATGTTCTAAAACTGATTGTGGTAACAATGGCACAATTCTTTTTTCAATCAATCATTTTATTAGGGGCTCTTAAACAACCATCCATACCTCAACTGTATCAAGCACATTTGTTACTATCATCATTTTCAAAACATTTTCTTTCTACTTGGGCCCTTGGTATCAGCTCCTCTTTTTTCCCTCCCTCCCTCCCTCACCTCCACCCTTGTGAACCCTTGATAAATTAGAAATTATTATTTTCATATCTTACACCATCTGCTGTATCCTTCACCCACATTTCTGTTGTTCATTCCCCTGGGCAGGGGGGAGGGGGAGCTTACATTGAGCATTCTGATTGGTTCCTCCTTTCTCCCCCTTCTGCCCCCGATTGTACAATTCTTCTTGATGTGATTGAACTATTAAATTGTATGTTATATGAATTAAATGTCAATAAAACTGTTGGGGGAAACAATAAATAAAATGTACTGGAAAGGAAAAAATAAAAATAGCTGGGCTTCAATGTACATTTTAAACAAATGGGACAAAGATCCTAAAGACCTTCTCTAAAGAATTATGACACAAGATGAAACATGGCGGATTATCTTATAGGCAAAGCAGTCCAAGTAGTGACTGCTGAGAAGTGAAAGGAAAAGCAGACTGTCGAAGAGTAAAGGTTATAGCAACAATGGAGGCAAGGAGGGGTGAAGTTCAAAGCATTGTGCTTGTTGACTTTCTGGGCAGCCTAAGAATGAGGATTATCTGCTTACTTTGAGAGTGTTTTGAGAAAGCTAGTCAAAGTGTGTGCAGCAAAACACCCAGGAAAGCATCCCCGGAGTCCCTCTCCACCATGACAATCCTCCTGCCCATTCCTCTTACCAAGCAAGGGCATTCTGTAAAAGTTTCCATGGGAATTCATTAGGTACGACCTTATAGTCCTGATTGGATGTCTGCTGACTTCTTTTTGTTTCCTCATCTTCAAAAAAATCTTTCTTTTTTGCCTTTGTAGAGCTCTACTGCCTTGGAGTTGACTCATAGTGTGTAGAGTTACTCCATAAGGTTCCCTCCCCCTGGCAGCAGTTATATCGGTATATAATTCACATAATTCAGCTATTATACAGTTTAATCGGTCAATCCTAAAAAGAAATCTTTAAAGATAAATCTTCATCTTTCTTTTTTTCTAATGTGAAAAGGGCTGCATTGGTACCCTGCTTAAGTTCCCAAGATCCTCAGATCTGCAGGGATGAGCTAAATGGCTGGTATTATCAAGTACAAAAGTGTCTTTAACTGGATGGAGTTTATGTTGAGAAGTAGAGATTATACCTTCTGTTTTTCCATGAACCTTTTAATTCTCCCTCATATTTCATAATTATCTATTACTATCTATTGTATATTAATAATATCTATTACTAAATGTCTATTGAACAAAGATGTAAAATATTCCTAAGAAGTTTCATTTATGGGCCACAGAAGGTTCTCAGATTATAATAAATACAACAGAGGACCGACCACAAATACGTAAAATGAGGAGGGAAGAAGTAAAAAGAGAAGAATATGGCGATGGTCCTACAAATAAGAGTTCTTTCCCAACATTTCTCTTTAAGAATGAGACCCTTCTGAGCATTTAGACATGTGGCACAGATACTCTGGCCTGCACATTCAGACTCTCCAGAATGTCTAAGTGGTACTGGACTAAACAAAGATCTATTGTCTGTTGAAAATGTCATCTGCACCGTCTTACCTTCAGTTTTCTGGTGTAAAACTGCCATCAAGTGTGCTATTGCTTCATCCACATGCAGGCCATGGAGGTCTAGCACGTTCTGTGGCAGCAGAGAGGCATTGACAGATGCAAAGATCGTCACAGCAGCAAGGTGATTGGCTTCTTTCATCTTCTGATCATGGATACTCCCCTTGAATCATAAACATATCACCAGTGGATACTTGTACTTAGTGAAAAATGAGGAAACTAACAGTGCCCCAAATAAAAGAGACAAAAACCCACACAATACAACTAAATTACTTTATAATGCGGCGGGGCAATACACTCAAAGATTCACTGTCACGGGGCTGTTTTGGGCTCACAGTGACCCTAAAAGACAGAGCAGAACTCTTCCTTTGGGTTCCCAAGATTTTAAATCTTGATAGTCTCATCTTTTTCCATGTAGCAGTTGCTGGGGGTGAACTGCTGATTTCCGTGGTTGGCAACTCCAAGTGTACTCACTCTGCCATTAGAGCTCCTCTTTCTCACAGGTGAAAATATTGAATTCATGTCACATAGATCTTCCCTAAGGATAACTTAATTCAGTCACGTCAAGGTTATTTAAGACATCTGCTTCAAGGTCATTTGAGACATCGTAAGTGAAAAAGAAATGTTTAAGAAGCAGTTTCACTCTTTACCTGCTGGGCATAAAAAGTAGCAACATTTTTTTGCCCCAATTGATAAGCCTCGTTTGCCTTCATGTAGTAGTCCATCCTCTTTTGTTGGTGCAAAAGAGCTTCTGCCCTGTAGTCCTCATATATTGGGTATTCCAGGTCCTGGAGAGACTGTTCGCTTTGCGTGCCCTCAGTCTCTTTTGGTTTCTTTGTCTAAAAGGTATCGCACAATAAGTAAAACACAAAGAAAGTAGACACTCTCAGGCTTGTTTGTTTTTTCATGAGGAAACCAACAATTTCTCCAAAAACCAACAGATTCTCTCTAGAGTCTACCTAGTTCATCAGCATTTAGAGTGTGTCATGAACCTTTTAGAAATAATTGTGGCAAATATGCACAGTAACAAAGCATTTTCCATTTCAGCACTTTCCACATGTACAATTTAGGGACACTGTGTTCATCATGTTGTGCAACTATCACCATTTCCAAACGTCTCCATCACCCTTAGCACAAAAATGCTCTGTGTCTCTCCTGAAACGGGTTCTCCTTTCTCCCTCCCTCCTGCTTGCCACTGATAGCCTTGCATCTGTGTTAGGCTTAACACTTGAATCCACTAATAGTTAAAAGTGTGTCTTGCTTTGTCCAGGCCCTGATTCTCATGAGCAATTCCTCAATAATGTGGTTAAGTCAATTGCAGATGTAAAAGTATTAGAGTGAGATGCATCGGTTTTACATTCAACAATCCACACACATTCTCTTTCAACAAATCCACTGCAATCCTCTCATGCACCATCGTTTACCCCACATCCTCCCTGGGTTCCTACTTCCATTCCCCTTTCCTTCCTAACCCTCTGACTTTGGTCCTTGGATAAAGGCTGCCTTTTTGAAAGTTTTATTGGCACAAAATCCACATATCATACAATTCAATAGTTCGATCACCTCAAGAAGAGTTGCACAATCATCACTACAGTCAAGTTTGGAACACGTTCTTCTTTCTTGTACTCATTGCTATTAACTTCCCATTTCCCCCCAACCTCCCCTGCCGTAACCCAAGAAAACATTAATCCAATTACTGTCTCTACAGATTTCCTATCCAGGATTTCAAATACAGAAAATTACACACACACACACACACACACACACACACACACACAAAACTAGCAACAGTAACAAAGAAAAACCTCAATTGAAAGGAAAATAGAAAATATTAAAAACTAAAACAAATTTAAGAAATGGGTCAAAAGGCCTATCAAATGATAAGGTGTTAAATTTTAAACTAACACTATCTGCAATAATCCACTTTCCAATGCACTCTTCATGAGAGCAAGGCTAATCACATCCTGCCCTGTTGCTCTTAATTACTGCTTATCATAACACACGTGGGGATGGGGGGCAGGGAGGTCAGTTCTAGACCTAAAGGGTGCCCAAAGGCCATAGTCTTAGGGGTTCTTCTTGAGGTTTTGATTTCCATTTCCCTGATGATTAGTGACTTTGAGCATAAAACAATAAACCTGATGTTTAAGATAGTTCCATATTGTTTTTGTTTTAATCATTTTATTGAGAGCTCTTACAGATGTTGTAAGAATGCATAATTCAACTAGTTCATGCATGATTATAAAATTGCTGCCACTATCTGTTTCAAAATTCTTTCATTCTCCTTGAATTTGATAGTAGCTCCCCTTTACCCCCACCCTCCCCCACCCTACCACCCAGGAGCCCATATTGATGTATGTATTATAAATTATTATTATTATTATTATCTGTGTCTTACACCGTCCAATATATCCACTCACATAAAATTCTATTATTCATTCCCCTTGAGTGGGATTATACAGTCATTGCTGTCAGCTCCCCCTTCCCTCAGCCCTCTCTATATTGTTTCTTGACTGGAGCCCTTACTTGTACTATTATTCACTTTTATCCAAGTATCAACGGCTGTGTGATTTATTCTTAACTATCCTTTCACTGTAGGAGTAGGATCCTATTCCTTTAGAGTATAAAGTTTAGAGGTAGGCCAATTGACAATAGTAGTTGTGTTTGACATATCAGAAACAGGCAGCTTCTCTTCTCTCGACAGCTTATGTTCATTTTGGGAAAAAACCTTTCCGCTTCTGCACTTACAGCAAGTGTTTTGACAATAGTTACTGTTTTGACAATAGTTTTAGCTTTTTTGAACATTTCCAGGAATTGTATAATTCACAGATAATATATTGTGGAAATTGGGGGAATAACACAAAGCTGAAATGAGTGTGTCACCCTCTGGTTGTTTGGCACCTTTAAAATGTATGTTATATGTTTATTTACTGAAATAACAAATTCAAGGGAATTAAAATGTAGTATTTCATCAAAAGTACCCATTGTATGAGATTAGCAAATATTACAAGCATGCTGTTAAAAGCCCTTGAGACAGTGCTGACCCATAGAAACCGTATGCAGAACAGAACAAAACACTACATGGTCCTGTTCCCTCCTCACAATTGTTCTTATGCGTTGAGTTCATTGATGCAGCCACTGTGCCAATGGCCTTCCTCTTTTTTGCTGCTTCTCCACTTTACCAAGCATGTCTTTCTCCAGGAACTGACTAGTGTCTCTTGATAATGTGTGTAAAGTAAGTGAGACAAAGTCTCGCCATTCTTGCCTCCACAGAGCATTCTGGTTGTACTTCTTCCATGACAGATCTGTTTGTGCTTTTGACAGTCTATAGTACTTTCAATATTCTTCACCAAAATAATTAAAATGCATCAATTTTCATCAGCCTTCCTTATTCAATGTCCATCTTTGGCATGCATAGGAAGCAATAGAAAATACCGTGACTTTGGGTCAGAAATACCTTGGCCTTCAAAGAGACATCTTGCTTTTCAACACTTTAAAGAGGTCCTGTGCAGCAGTTACCTAATGCAATACAGCTTTTGATCTCTTGACTGGTGCTTCCATGAGCATTGATTGGGATCCAAGCAAGACAAAATCCTTGACAACTTCAGTTTTCTCTCCATTTGTCGTGATGTTACCTATTGTTCCAGTTGTGAGGATTTTAGTCTTCTTTACATTGAGTTGTAACTGAAGGCTGTAATCCTTGATCTTGAGCAGCAAGATTTTCCTCACGTTCAGCAAGCAAAGTTGTGCCATCTGTGTATTGCACATTGCTAATATACCTTACTCCGATCTTGATCCTACATTCTTCCTCATATAATCCAGCTTCTCCCATGATTTGCTCAGCATACAGATTGAACAAGTTGGGTGAGAGGATACAACCCCGGCACACACCTTTTCTGATTTTAAGCCGTGCAGTATTCCCTTGTTCTGTTCACACAACTGCCTCCTGATCCATGTCCAAGTTCCTCATGAGCACAATGAAGTATTTTGGAATTCCCATTCTCTTTGAGGTTATCCACAATTTGTTATGATCCACACAGTCGAATTTCTTGGCATAGTCAATAAAACACAAGTAAATATCTTTCTCGTATTCTCTACTTTCAAAGACCCATCTGACATCAGTAATGAAATTCCTTTTTCCACATCCTATTCTGAATCTGGCCTAAACCTCTGGCAGCTCCCTGTCAATGTATTGCTGTAACTATTTTTCGATGATCATTAGTAAAATTTTACTTGCATGTGCTATCAATAATATTGTTTTATAATTTGTGCATTCGAAAGCAAATATTCTATTGACGGTTAAATTGCCACTCTAGTCAATATAGTAAGAAATAATCATTAAACTATGTCTTTGAACCTACTGTATTTTTATATACAATTGTTTACCATTAGTTTAAGATATTACATAAGTCTATACCTTTTTATCTTTGTGTTTCTGTGTGGTACGAGAGGTGGTGTTTTCAGCTGAGTGAACAAAGTCTCCTGCTATCACTCTTTTTACAGGTTCTCCTTCAAGAATAGCATTTAAAAATTTCACTGTTGGTTCTAAACAATAGCTGTGGAGAGTTGAAGTACAAAGAGAATGTTAATAAATGAAAATAACAAGCATGAAGAAAATAAAATAGGAACATATGCAATCCAACAAGAATTTTATAAAAATGTGAAAAACCAGCTCAGTCTTAAGTTGTCAATATTGAAATTCAATGTTCATTGTGGACCCCTGAGCCTCAAAAATTAACAGAAAAAAAAACCTGGTATGGCTTAGAAAATTAGTATTTAAAAAGTGAGTATCAAAAAAAGGTAACACACTAATGTTTCTGGTCTTTTTCTTTCACTTTTTATTATGAATTAGATAAAGATTGGCAGAGCAGATCAACAGTTCTATGTGTAACAGTTCACACACGTTTTTTTCCACACATCCACTGCCGTGCCCTCAATGTCCTGTCACTTATCCCACTTTCTCCCTGTTTCCTGCGTCCATTCCTTCTTCTTTTTTAGCCTCCTGAATTTTGTTGATAATACTACCCTTTTGATCTTAAATGGTTGGCTATTCTACTACAGGGATGAGTTTAATTGCAGAACTGAAATGTGCCTAAGGGCCATATTCTTGGGGGAGGGGGATTGTTCCACCTCTCTATCTAACTAGTAAGCCTGACTAGTTTATGATTTTGAGTTTTGTTCCACCGTTTTCTCCACCTCCAAATGTGATCCTTGTTTCTGTTCCTTTGTTTTTTAAATTTTCATCATTTTTCTTTCCTCTGGATGGTTCAAGAGTAATGGTTGGACCTTAGATGGCTGCTCAGAAACTGTTAGGACCTTAGTCACTACTCATTTAAATAGGATGTAGAACATTGTCTTTTTTAACTGTTATGCCAGTAGACCTTGATGCCTCCTAAGACTATGGAACTCAGCCCCCTCATCAACTCATTCCCTCGAGCAGTTTGGTTATGTCTAATAAGTTTTCATAGCTGTGCCTCCTGATGCTCTACTACATTGCAGCAAATGTATACAAGTATATAAATGTTCTGAGTCAAAATCTCATCAAGTCAATGTTGACTCAAAGTGACCTCCCTGTGGGTTTCTGAGACTAAAATGGTTATGGGAGTAGAAAGCCCAGTCTTTCTCCCAAGAGGGAGTGCTGGTGGTTTCGAACTGCCAACCCTGCAGATCACAGCCACCAAAGAAATCCTATAGAGCAGTTCTTCACTGTCCTATAAAGTTGCTGTGAGTCGGAATCAATGAAATAACAGTGGATTTGGCTTTGGTTTCCTTTATTAATGTATGATACACTTGATGTCTTTCCATCTCTCTCCTGATCTCTGGACATTAGTATGCAGTGCATCAAATCCATTCTTGAGATGGTCTCTAAACTCAGATGGGATGTATTCAAGGTCATATTTGGATCACTTAGACTTTTTATTTTCTTCAGCTTCAACTTGAAATTGCACATAAGCAATTGATGGTTCATTGTGCAGGTGGCCCCAGGCTTTATCTTAACTGAAAACAATTAGTTTGTCCATTGTCTCTTTCCACAGATGTAGTTTATTTCCTGTGTAATCCATCTAATGAGGTCCACATGAATAGCTATCAATTATGCTGTTGGAAAAAAGAGTCTATTCTGATATCCACTTTGGTCTTTTCTCCCTCTGTTGTCTTTTTAGTGACCGTTTCCTCTCTTCACGTTTGGTACCTTTTAAGTCATCAGGTCTTCTGTCTTCTGTAGTTTTCAATGTGTCAAACTTGTTCTTGAAAAGTTCTCCAAATTCAAGAGAAAGATACTCACATTGTAACTTGGCTCTTTGGGGCTTTTAAATTTTCTTCAGCTTCAATCGGAACTTGCATATGGCAACTGATGGACTGTTCCACAGTCTCCCCGTGGACTAGTGTTGGCTGCTGATATTGATTGAGCTCCTCTATCACCTTTTCCCAGTTATAGTCTATTGAATTCTTGAGTATTTCATCTGGCAAAATCCCAGTGTATAATTGCTGATTATGTTGTTGAAAAAGAGGTATGTGCAATGAAGAAATCATTGGTCTTGCATAATTCTGTCATGAGATCATAAGCTTTGTTTCTACCACTAAGGTTATATTTACAACTACTGACTTCTCTCTTGGTTTCAAATTTTTGCATTCCAGTCATCAATAATTATCCATGTTATCTTGATTACATGCTTAATTTCAGACTGAAGAAGTTGGTAGAATTCTTCAGTTTCTTCATCACTAGCTTTAGTGATTGTTGCATAAACCAAAAACTAGGCTCACTGTCAAAGAGTCAATTCTGACTCATGGTGACCATATAGAACAGTATAGAACTGCCCCTGTGGATTTCTGAGCCTGGAACACTTAATGGGGGTAGAAAGCATCTTCTTCCCTTGCTGAGTTTTGAACTGCGAGCCTCGAGGTTAGCAGGCCACTGCATAACCCACTACACCACCAAGGCTCCTTACCAGTTGATGCATACATTTGTATAATATCTGTATTAAATAAAACTTCCTTGTAGGCATAGAGATATTATCCTATCACAGACAGCATTGTATTAAAGACAGATCTTGATATGTCATTTTTAACAGTGAATGCAACACCATTCCACTTGACTCATTCCCGGCACACAAAACCATATGATAGTCCGATTCCAAACAGCCAATACCAGTCCATTTCAGCTCACTAATGCCTAGGATATCAATAGACTGATAGGTGGGTTCAAATAGCCAACCATTCAGTTAGCATTTAGGCACTGAGCTATTGGTGCTACCCAAGGACTCCTGCATAACTGATATTGCTGTTGTTAGATGTTGTCAACTAATTTTCACTCAGAGCAGAAATGTCCCATAGGTTATAATCTTTATGGGAGCAGATCACCAAATCTTTTTTCAGTAGAGCTGCTGAGTGAATTAAAATTGCCATCCTTTATTAAAGTAAGCTACAAAAATTTTCTCTTCTAGGAACCATCTTACAATAGTATTCACATGTGTACATAAGATATATGTTTAGAAAAGCTCATTGCAGCTGGTTTCCAATTTGTTTACAGTTAAAAAGTTCATTAAAAAGGGTATATTTAAACGAATTATGGTAGTTTCCTACTATGGAAGGCTCTATAGATGCTAATGACAACAGTTAACTATATATAGACAGGAAAAATAAACATCAGCAAAGTTACAAAGCAGTAAACAACACAACCTCTTTTCAATGGAATATATATATTTTTACAAATCTATAGATACAGATGCATATACACATATCAGGATGTAGCAGAAAAATCTTATGGAGAAATACAAATCAATTATTAGAAACTGTTCACTTTCTATATTACATCCACTGCATTTGAATGGTTTATTATATACTTGTAATACTTTTACGGGGCCCTGGTGGCAAAGTAGTGTAGCACTCCACTAGTAACCAAGAAGTCCACAAGTCAAGCCACAACCACTTTGAGAGAGTATAGAAGTCTTACAGCCTTGGAAACCCTATGGGGGAGTTGCACTCTATCCAGGAAGGCCACGTGAGTCAAAATTGTCAATGACAACAAGTTTTCCAGGTATGTAACTTTCATTACTTTAAAACATAAAAGGTTAAAGTACAACACATACTGACAACAGGCAATCCTAGTACTCACTTGTGGTTCTGGAAAATGTCCATCAGAAAGCTATGGTTAATGGTTGGAAATAACTTGAACAGTTCCTTCTCCTTCAGTTTGGTGGCAAAATCTTTTACAAACATAAGGGACTGCCTTCTCTAAAGAAAAATAAGAAAATCTTCATTAAGATGGGACTTGTTCTGCTAATTACACTGATCCAAAAGCAGTTACTGTGTTGCAAAATAGAAATACAATTCACTGATTAAAGCCTGAAATTAATAATAAAAATGTTCTATCGCTAGTTATTTCTATATCATTTCTTGCAAAGTATACAAAAACTATTATATATATCACATGCATACGTATACATCTATGTGCAAGCATTTTTGGATAATTATATACATAATCTCACATGTAAACGCTCATTTAACCATGCTATCTAAAACAAGGTAAAAATAAATGAGGTTGTAGAAAATAAAGGTTAAAATATAGGGAAAAGCTAGCAAGTAAAATTAGTCAATAATGCACGTCACAAAATCCTGTACAACTGCTAAAGATGACCACAAAATTACCTCTGGGATTCTTCATGGCCAAGGCAAAGGAGAGAAAATAGATGGTCAGTGCTCATAAAATACAAACAAACCCACTGTTTACAAAAAGTATCGCTAGTTTTTTCTAATACAAAGAGCAATGTCTCCCAAAGGCCCTTATAAAGGATATTAAAAAGTATGCCAAGAATAAGATCCTCAAAAGTATACTCTCCTGCCCCACTCAGTGAACCGTGCTTTCTTCTTCAAACTCATCTGTAGCCCTTAGACTTAAGGCTGAAACTCTCTAATGTGAAAAGAAGCAGATGACTGCTATCCTAAGGGTATACAACTGTCGGCCACTGAACTGTAAGGACTGCCTGGGACTACCAAGTATTTACAATCTCAAGGCCCTCCTTGCTTTCTTATGACATGTATTAATCTGGTACACTGTTGTTAGAACAGGAACTACCTTTATTTTAAATTTCTCATATTTTTATTCCTCAGAATAACTACGAAAATTGTTATCTTTCACAAGTCCTATTTAGAGCTGTGACTTTAAAGTACTGGATGCTACAAATATCCAAACATCTGAAAAACAAATTAACTTGCAACAATATTTCAAATGTTATTGAAGATAACTGAGGATTCCTAAAATTAAGGATAATGTTGAGACAGTTATTTCATGTTTTGTGTGTCTGCTTTAAGCCTAACCATATCCAGGCCATTTATAGTACCCAGCAGCAATAAGAGGAATCGTGATGGGTTACAATCTGATGGGTTTGTAACTGCCAGCCTTGCACTTAGCAGCCCAAACCCTCTACATCACCAAGGCTCCTTTGAAAATGCACAGTTTTATTAAAATAAGTAACTAAAATATATAAATACAAAGTTCTGAGTAAAGTGAGCTTCTGTCTAAACTAGTTTAATTGAGGTTAGAAGATAAGGCAGAGTATTTAGTGCTTTTAATTCCAATCCATATGTTTCTAGAACTTTTTAATAAAAGATCAAGACTTAAGGTCTTTAGTTACCCTTCATGCCTGGAAATGAATTCACCCTCACACCTCAATTCTCATTCAAGCAATAGTCAGACCAATAAAGTGAATAAATACAATGTGAAAGTATGCACAAAGGAAAAACAAAGTTACTTCAAAGATGACCAACAGCAAGACAGAACATTGTGTTATTAATTTATCTGTGAAATTATATGAAAGATTTCATTCATGTTTTTCTTTTTTTTTTTAATCTTTGTATTGGGGGTTTGTACAGCTCTTAACAAAATCCATACATTAATTTAATCAGGCATGTCTGTACATATGTTGCCCTCATTCTTTTCTAGACATTTACTTTCTATTGAGCCCTTGATATCAGCTCTTCCCGCCCCTGACACCATAACCCTGATTGGCTGTACATTATTATTATTTTCATCTCTCATTCATATTTTTCTAGGAATAAAAAATTACATAGGTAAATGAAAAAAGTTAGGAAAATTGTTACATTTTAACCTGACTACAAGGGGTACCCCCAAAAAGCCAGAATTGCACAGGGCAGAGTGGAGCTTTCATAGTAGGGCACATTTCTCCCACAAGGCAAGCATCAAGCAACTAGCTCTGAGTTAATGCACCCAGTGGCATCACCAGGGAAGGTTCTCTCTGGTCACTGTGAATTTTTTCATGAAAGCAGTTTCACTCAAACCTCATTTTTTGTAATGGCCAATTTAAGAAAACAGTGTGTGGGTGTGAAATTTTATTTCCTGCTCAGAAAAAAATGCCACAGAAACTGTTGTGATGTTGAACACAGCTTACAAGGGCTGTCTATGGGAAAAACTAAAGTATATGAGTAGTTTTCTCATTTCAAAAAAGGTGAAATGTCAATTAATGACAAACCTCGTTTCTGGACATCTATAGACTTCCTAATCAGATAAAAATGTCAACTCGTAGTGCGTTAGGAGTTCGTTCCACCAGGTCAAACTGTTAATCAAGCTTTCTATTTAGAAGTTCTGAAAAGATTGTGTAACAGTGTGTGACAAAAATGGCCTGATTTGTGGCAGGTGGGGGACTGGTTTTGCCACCACAACAATGCACCTGCTCATGCAGCCATCTCAGTGTTGTCAGTTTTGGGCAAAAAACAGAATGCCTCTCTTGCCCCACACACCTTACTCACCTGACCTCACTCCATGTGACTTCTTTTTGTTTTCATCAGTGGAACATGAAAGGACAGCAATTTGAGGACATTGATGAGGGGAAGAAATAAACGGTGCTGTCAGCTATCCAAACAGATGAGTTTGAAAAATGTTTCCAAGAATGGAATCACAGATTTGACAAACTTATTAAGTGTAATGGAGAGTACTTTGAAGGTGATAAGGATGTTTTGTAAAAAAAATTCCTCGGGGAGGAGATGAGCCAGTCAGGGTGCGATGTAACACCGAAGAGAAATACAACTTTCCTCTACTTCCTAAATGTTTCCTCCCCGCTCCCACTACCCACACTCGAATTCGACCTTGCAAGTCTGGCTAGACCAGAGGATGTACACTGGTACAGATAGGAACTGAAAATACAGGGAATCCAGGGCGGATGAGCCCTATAGGACCAGTGGTGTGAGTGGCGAAACAGGGAGGGTAAAGGGAGAATGGGTAGGAAAGAGGGAACCAATTACAAGGAACTATATGTGACCTCCTCCCTGGGGGACAGACAACTGAAAAGTGGGTGAAGGGAGACGTTGGACAGGGCAAGATATGACAAAATACCCATTTATAAACTATCAAGGGCTCATGAGGGAGGGGGGAGCGGGGAGGGAGGGGAAAAATGAGGACCTAATGTCGGGGGTTTAAGTGGAGAGAAAATGTGTTGAGAATGATGTACAAATGCGCTTTACACAATTGATGTGTGTATGGATTGCGATAACAGTTGTATGAGCCCCTAATAAAATGTTTTTTAAAAAAAATTTCAATACATACCTTTGAAAAAAAATTCCATTTTGGGGGGCACCCCCTCATATATCTTCTATAGTCCTCTCTGCAATACACTCTGTCCAATAACAGTACTATTCACTTCCCTTGACTATGGTCAGAGAGGATCTCAATTGATGCCCTATTTGACCCATTTAAAAATTCTATCAGTTTGTTAAAAAGTGGAGGTAAAACAGTGTGGATTACGCCTTTAGGTGAATCCCCTCTGAATATAGATGAGGGATGTGAATAACCTTGCTATCAGACAGAGTGCATTATAGTGGATTATACCAGATGTAGTTAGGTTAAATTTTAAAAGCTCATCATTTGATGTCCCTTTTGACCCAATTTAAAGTAGTTCTGGTTTTTAATATTTTCTGCTTTCTTTTCAACTAGAAGTTTTTTCTATTTTATTTTGTTATTGTTGTTAGCTCTTTTTATTCTTTGTGGGGTTTTTGTTTTTGCATGTGTTTTTGGTATGTGAACTCCAAGAGTTATCTATAGAGACAGTAAATGGATTGATGGTTTCTTAGGGGTATAGTGGGGAAAATGGGGAGCTAATAACAAGGAGTGCAAGAAAGAAGAAAATGTTCTAAAATTGGTGTGGTAGAAATTATACAACTCCTCTTAACATGCTTGAACTATTGAATTGTACAATATGTGGATTCTGTCCTAATAAAATGACTTTTAAAAAAGGTAGAAAATTGAAATTTAATGGCCTACAAAATTAAATCTAAACCAACACATATTTCACATAGCTTACTGTTACATGGCATCAATGAATTTCCCAAAGGCAAACACTTAAACTTAGAAATTATTTAAAACATTTTCCAATTTTAACATCAAGTTCAATTGGCTAAATATAAATTCTAGATTAGGAAAACAGTAGAATCAAATGGAAATCACAAAGTAAAAATAAATGCAATCCACTAATGGCAAAGACAATAGCATACCAAGCTCTCCTTTTCCTGGATGGCCATTTCTTCTGACATTATTTCTCTGAGTGACACTATTTTATACTGCGTATTCCAACAGTCCGGTACAGGTACCATTTCAGATGCTGCTAAAGTCCTCTGCATTTTTCTCCCTGTTCTCTGAGATGATTTTTGCTCAACCAGAGAAGGATCTATAAAAACAGTATAAATTATATCAGTGTTTAAATAATACATAATAATTAAGCAGCAGTATTTGCTAAAATTATGCCATTACTATTACAAGCCCAAGACACCAAGATGCATGGTATTTTAAACATTTCAGCTTACAAATATAACACAACTCTGAAATTTCCAGATACAACTTTGTCATGTAATTAAAAATAAGGAATAACATACATGAAGGTAGAAACACCTCAAATGAGTAATGATCCCAGGACAATTTAATATTCCATTCTTTTAAATAGTTGAACAACACATTAAAAAATAGTGAAACTTTTATATAGGACTTTTACAGGTATAGTATATAGAAGACTTTCATACATAGATATAAATGTAGAATAAAATGTTGCTGTTGTTAGTTACCATCAAGTTTGCCCCAACCCATGGCAACCCAGTATGTGCAGAGTAGAACTGTATTCCTTTGGAGTTTCAAGGCTGTGACCCTGAGAACAGCAAGGCTGCTTAAAATTCAGAAATTCAGGTGGGTCGACCTTTGATTTACTAGCCAAGTACTTAAGCATTGCAACACCCAAGAATATTCTATATAGTATGCATGCACAGAAGAGTTTGCATAGGGTAATCAAAGAGAAAAGGCCTCTGCCCAGCCTGATCAAGGATGGAGAGGACTGATATTCTGGCAAGCCTGTGACCCACAAAAGAAATAAAATCAATATAAAGCATCTGATATTCAACATAAGGGAAGAGCTGAACATTTAAGAATTTAGTTCTGTAATATTTCAACCTCTCTGAGGGATACCAAAGAAGCCCTGGTGGCATCATGAATTAAGCAATGGGTTGCTGACCAAAAGACTGGCAGTTCAAGGCCACCAGCTACTCCTTTGGGAGGAAGATGAGGCAATCAGCTTCTGTAGACTTACAACCTCAGAAACCCTAAGGAGCAGTTCTACTCTGTCCCACAGGGTTGCTATGAGTTCTAATCAACTCAACAGTGTGTTTTGTTTTTGTTTATTTGGTTTTAGGATAGATATATATATCCTAAATATATATATATGTATATGTATGTGTGTGTGTGTATATATGTGTGTGTGTGTGTGTGTGTGTGTATATATATATATATATCCTTAATAAAAATATCACCTAACTCAAGGTGCACCTAACCCAAATCATGGTATTTTCAATCACCTCATATGCATGTGAATAAAGTAGACTAAAGAATAATCAATGAATTTTAATTATGATTCTTGTGAAGCATGTTCAAAGTACCATGGACTGCCAAAGGAACAAACAAATGTGTCTTAGAAAAAGTACAGCCAGAATGCTCCTTCAAAGCAAGATGGCAAGACTTCATCTCAGACACTTTGGACATGTTACCAGGAGAGACCAGTCCCTGGAGAAGAATATCATGGTTGGTAAAGTGGAGAGGCATCTAAAAAGAGGAATACCCAAGACAAGAGGGATTTGCACAGTGGCTACAATGGGTTCATACTAGGAAAAAGGTGCAGACTGGGCTGTGTTTCCTTCTGTTGTACATACAGGGTCGCTATCAGTCTGAACCAACTCATTGGCACCTAACAACAACAAGAGAGATCAACATATTCGGACAGATTCCTTTGCTGTCCAGGAAGCTACTGGCAGACCCACAACCCTGCCATGCTCTGAGCCCCTCGATCTCTCAAACTGCCTTAGCTGCTGCAGCTACGGCTCAAGCATAACTCAGAACGGAAGTAGATCCTGAGAAGCTCCTAGCTGGAGCTTTTGTCCTTGGTCCCAGTCTGGAATGGGCAAAGGTGGAATCTGTGCACAATAGGGAGGCCTTCGAGGACAGGCCTGCCATCCTGCACTAATCACGTACGATGACACTGGCATAGCAGTGTGTACTGGAACTGAGTATTTCTAGCTGGCAGGAGGCACCGGAAAAGCAGGCTGCTGTTTATGTTCCAATAATGTTAACATTGATAAAATTACTGAAGAACCAAGTGAACATTTTAACCAGACTATCAAATACAGAGACAGCTCACTGCTCTCAAAGCTCTTTTCTCTCATGAAGAGCACAACCTTAAAAGGACCCAGCTTGACCATCTGTATCAAAGCCCATCTCAGGGGCCCCACAGAGCTCAGGAAAGTATGTTATGATGGCTCTAATTCCTCCTTCAAGTTTTTTTAATTTTCTTTTATTTCATATCAACATTAAATGTTAAATATTTTTAAGAAACTTTATTTGCAAATTAAAAATTCTTCAGTAACGTGTTTTATAGAAGTAATTTAATAATAATAAAAATCTATACACACACACCAAGTTTCACCATGAACACAAGCACATTAGAGGTTACCAGCAGGTCCTTTACCTGGCACAGGTCTGCCACTCGCTATTTCTTCCTGTCGTTGCTTCTCCTAAACAGAGAGGGGGGGCTTATGTTGTTTTTCTTTAGCAATTATTTCCCCTTCCAAAACCAAACTCAATCTCGAGTCAATTCCAACTCATATCTACCCTATAGGACAGAGTAGAGCTGCCCTGTGGGTGTAACTCTTTACACGAATAGTAAGCCTCATCTTTCTTCCGGGGAGCTGCTCGTGATTTTGAACTGCTTTCTTCCAGTTAGCAGTGCGATGAGGAACCCATAGGCCCACCAGGGCTCGTCTATTTCTCCTGAAATAACTGTAAATCATTTATAGTAAAGCTGAGCGAAACAACAAAAATAGATTTAAAAAAGCATAACTACAGCTACATCATTTACTGAACTTTTCTGCTCAATTTTTAAAACTTTCAAAGTTTCACCAGAGGGCTCTTTAAGTGAGGGAGTAAAACTCACCAGTTATGTTTTGTTTTATTTTGTTGGAAGTCACCGCCACACTGAGCTCTACCACTAACCATCTAACTTGGCCAGTCTGGAAGTAATGTCAAACACTGGCGCAAGGGAAGGAGAAGAAAAAACTTCTTCTGTAACTGGTAAAAGTTTACCCGCTCCCAAAATACACTTACAAACAGAATTTGTCACATAACCCAGAGTTTACTGAAACGCAAAAGCAGCCAAGTGAACACAAAAGGAACTCTTAATTAAAAAAAGAAGTCTACCAACCGTCACAGAGTCTTTCCATTTCTCATAAATTGCTTTAGCCAGATTCAGATCTATAGGAACGATACAATCTTCAACTGTTAGACACTCTTGCGAAGGGAAAAGAAAAAAAAGAAAATATTATCATTACTAGGTAAGATATTTGCAGAACATGTAACCCACTACCTTACACTTCATAACACTAGTTCGAGTTACTAGTTAGTAACCCATGTTCCTTTTTTTTTTTTTGGCATGTTTCTGTAACTGTGCCGCTACTTTCACATGCCTCAGGTGGAGTAGTAACACGTTTTATAATGATGTGATCAGTGTTATGTTATGAATAAAAGTAAATATATGAAATTAATTCCTCTCCATTGGCCTACATATATATTCTTTCTTCAGCTCCACCAGTCGACCCCTTTTCAATCTGTGTCCCCTCTGGAATTAATCATTAAGTGTATCTGAAGCAGCACCACAGTGCCAAACAAGGCTCATTTAATAAGGTGTGGGGAGTGTCAGGCCCGCGGACTACCTACAAGCTGTGAAACCATCAAGACCATCTAACATCACCATTGTCACCAAAGAGCAGCAGTTCTGGCCATCACAGGAGGGGTGAGTTAATGAAGGAAGTGTTTAACCAGTATAGCCTGTGAATGATGTTATAATATCCAGATGGCCCTTGGAAAGAAAAAAGATTCCCCACCTCTAATCTATATAAACGAGTATGAAGTAAATGCCAGAAAAAGATTCCAATGTATACATGGTTACACACAAACTTCACATGAATACTACTACTTCTTCAAAACAACCTTTTTTTTAAAAAATGCTCTACAAGCATGTTCTATCAAGAATATACTGTCCTGCGTATAGTCAGGACACATTAACATAGGGAGTAATTTTACAAGCAAAATAGAACCAGCTAAATTCTGTGCACACTAAGATATGCATACAGGTTTGTTGTTTTTTTTCTTACCTGACTCAATGCCAACAGGGCCAAATAACTCACAGAGCTGAAATGCCAGCTCAAGGGGCAATGCCAATTCCAGACATTCTATGGTCACATGCTTGGCCGTCACTGGAGTGTGGCGCATCATCTCCGTTTTCCCGTTTTCACTAACTCCAGCTGACAAACTATCCCCTGACATTAGAATCTTCTCCATTTCCCGCACATCTTTGTCCACACACTCTTCTGTGTTTGTCTGAAATCCCACATGATCCTTTGGAATATTTTCATTTCCCTTTACCTCGCAAGGGTCAGTCAAATTATTTTCTTCTTTTGATTCAAGATTTGTAGCGCTCGGCACAGAGTCTAAAGTATCAGACAAACTCAAAGAATGCATCCCGTCTCCAACCTCTACCAGTTGCTTCTCTGTGTCACTCATATCCTTAGTGGTAGTGGTTCTTAAAGCATCTGAAAATGACGGCTTCCTGCTCTGTATCCCAGAAGGCCCTCCCTGACTAGTCGGAAGTGGCTGCCTAGCACTCTTTAGACCTCCAGCCGCACATGGTGATAAAGCACTCATCTCTGCCTGCCCTGTGGTTCCCTCTTCCTTCTCTTCCCGCTCTATGGTTTGCTCTTCCTTCTCTGCCTGCTCTGTGTCTCCCCTTTCCCTCTCGGCCAGCTCTGTCTCTCCCTGCTGCCTCTCTGCCTGCTCTGTGGTTCCCACTTCACCTTGAAAGGCAGGCTGAGGGGGAATGTCGCTGATGGCAGCTCCAGGACCAAGTGCTGGCACCGTTGAATCAGAACCCTCTGTTATATCTTTTGGGATAACAGTTGCCTCTGGATCTAATCCACCAGATGGCCCAGTGGGTGAGTCATTTGATGTTAGGTGATTATCACTGGCAGTGTATTCACATAATTTATGTTCCGAATCTAACAGGAGAGTTGTGGCCCAAAGAATATCTTTGTTACACTTCTCATATAGGTCTTCTAGGACTTCTGATGCCACAGACTCAAATATTTCACATAGGGTATCAAGTTTTTCAGCATCGTCAGCAGCCATCAGCTCACTTTCTTCCACGTGCGTGCTTTTCTCGTGCATTACCCTGTATGGAATCATTTCTTGACCACCCAGTTTTGGGTTAATATTGAAGGCTTCCGGTTTAAATCCATCGGGTCTTCCTGTTAATACTTCGACGGAATCAGAAACACTTATCTGACTCTTTTTGATTTTCCATAAGAGAGCAAAATCCTGTGGTTCGGTCTGGGTACAGACGCCTGTGCCTGTTTCTATTTCAGGGACTCCTTTAGAGGTCTCCTCAGGAAACGCAGCTCTAGTGTGTGCGTCCACTACTCCAGGGCCCGTGGGTGCACTACCAAGGAAAGACAGACCTGGAGAGCCCTGTTCGTCATGCTTCACTTCTCTTAGACAAATTTTACTCTCCGGGGTCCCTTCACTGGCTAGCATTTCAGAACTATCTAGGAGGGAGCTACTCAAGGTTTCTTGTTCTTTAGGGCTTGTGCCTCCACGTGGTGTACAGGACGACATTTCACTCCCATGGTCACTAGTTCCAAATTCTAGAGTAGGTTCATGGCCACAAGCCTTTGATATTCTTCTTCTGGGCTTTCTCTGAGCTAAAGAATCCAATGGAGGCCAGCTGTCCTTGGAGTTCAATGAGCTTGGTATATTTTCCCACGTGCTTGTAAAAATATCCTGTTTGATGCCGTTGAAGGATTCTGGGGCATCATCACACCAGAACTTCTTGCCATCCTCTACACTATCATGTGCAGATCTACCATCCTGGATGCAATCTCTGCCCAGATAAATACTAGCACCCCACAGCCTGGGTGCCTGAAGGGGAGTATACTTTGTGTCACTTTGTGCAGATGAAGCTTTTTCCTCTTTTCGGTTCCTTTTTGTCCTCTGACTAATAGTCTTATTAACTGGCCAGTCACCAACAAAATCTGATACCTCATGTCTTGGGAACGTTTCCAAGTTGGATTTGCTTTGCTGTTTCCCAAAGGCTTTTTGCTTTACTATTGGCCTCTCCTCCCAGGCTTCACTGGGCAAAGAACATTCTGTTTGAAGTAGGGTAGTCTTGACAAAATTGCAGTCTTCTTGACTCAGTGATACTCCTGCTACCAAACCACCTCCATCTGTTTTACTACATTGCTTTGCAGAAGCCCCTTCACCTGGCTCTTCCTTTTCACTTCTGACTACTGGACATATGTGGCTTTCAGGGTCAGAAGAAGGCATGTCGAGATCTTGCTGCATGAAAGCACTCTGAATGTTGGGAGTCACACCACTTATTTCTTTTCTTCCTTGGTCTAAATTTGCCTCAGTGAGAAATGAAATGCTCCCATGTAATGCCATGTCCCTGGTCAATTCAAGTTTCTTCTCTGCGGTTAAGTCTAGGTCCTTCAAGGATGACGATAAAACATTTCCTTCTCTCGCCAGGGTAGAGTCTTCATTGACTTTTGGGCTGTAAGATGTTTTTAAAGAATATCATAAATGAATGATAGCTCTTAAAATTGCCATCGACACAATGACTTAAATTAAAAGAGCATTCAACTGAAAGGAGCACTTAACATTTATTGACTTATTTCTAAGAGACTAGAAATAAACTATATTAAAACTATATCAGTTATTCTTGGTCTGCCCCTAATGTACTATGAATACATTCCTTGGTTTTAACCACAGTTCCTAGCACAATGCTTGACACAGGAAAAACAAACTTTTTTCAAATTGAACACTAAGCAGAAGGTTTTCAGTTTCAGGTACTCATTAAATGTTAGTCCCTAAATTCTGTTCCCAGTAGAGGACAGATTTAAGTTGAGTTTATGTAAAATTAGGCCCTGCCTCCATTCTGAGGAAAATTATTAAACTTCATCTATAAAATCCCATAGTCTACCAATTGCGCAATAAAGGCCTCATTTTGTATATCACTTGTTAAATTAAAAAAAACCATCTTCAAAACCAGGTACAGACTCAGAGCACCTTGGCCTAATCACTATAATTTCAACTCCTGTGGTCTTTCCTGCTGCAGATGGTCTACCCATCTTCCTTGCTGGCTTTACTCTAGAAGCTCTCCAGGTCCCAACTCTCCCCCTGAAACTGTCATAAGTAGATTGTACCTGACCACTACAACTCAAAGTTCTTATTTGTATTAACACATAACCTTTAATATGATCCTAAGTCCTTTACTTCTATTCATGTATAAACTCCATGAGATGAGTGTGGCTATTGCCATTTTACAAATGGAGACTGAGGTATACAGAGATTCTGTAAGATGGCAAAGATCACAGAGCCTTAGAATTCGAACCCAGGAAATACTAAGGGATTTAAAAAAGATCCTGGGGAAAAAATGAAACTGAAAGGTAATAAAAATTTTTTCATGGACTCTTTGAAGCTGCCTGTACCCCAGAGATTGAGAGTCCATGATCTTGAGTATTTGGCAACACTGTTTCCCCATAAAAGAAAAGCTATACATTTCCTACCACCACCACCCCTCCCAATTCTCCCTTTCCATCATACAATATGGGCACCTCAAATGGTTTTAGATATTTAAGGCTCTTCTCAACTCATTTATTTATCCAATTATTCATAAGTCCTGAATATTAACAAAATAGCAGATTAGATTACATAAAGAAGCCAGAAATATTCATAGTATAATCATGGATTCATAAAACCGTAAGGACATCTCACTCTAAGACTATATATACCTAAACTCTTAAAAAATAACAAAGGCCCAACTTGTTTTTAAAGCTAATTGGCAAAGACAAAAATAAACAAACAGATAAAGTTAACCGGCAGTGATTTTTCAAGCTTCAAAATCATGCTTTTGAAAAATTAGGTGGTTTTTTTAAAAGATATTTCAAATTGACATTTTTGCACATAAGGAGTTTTAACTTACCTAGTACTTTTGTTCTCACAAGAATATACACACACCTCAATGCGCTCAGTTTTCCTGGGTATCAGAGAACCCATGATTATTGGCACTGAAACAAAGTGCTGATAATGGTCCAACATCCTTGCTATTTTTTCTTTGCTTACCCCGTGAATATTACGCCTGAAAATTTCAGAACATTCCAGGGGAGAGGAGGACAAAAAGAATAATGATAATACAGCTTGAGAAAAAAAAAATTCACAGAATGTCAAACTAAACATGCTTTGTTAATATATAAAAATACCTAAGCTGGCTTTATATGATACAATATACACTACTTGATTCTAATGATACTTTTATTCAGGATATCTCAGATCACAAATTTTTTTATTATTCCATTTTCCCCCAAAATTCTTATCTAACTTAGGAAAAAATGAGCATGTCCTCAGTAATTTTTTTAATCATTTTACTGGGGGCTCATACAACTCTTATCACAATCCATATAAACATCAATTGTGTCAAGCACATTTGTACATTCGTTGCCCTGATAATTCTCAAAGCCCTCAGTAATTCTAAAAGAAGTTATTCTCAAGCTCTGGACAATCTCAGAATATAACTGTTATTTCAAGGCTGTAATTAATTATTAACTCATCACCAACAAACAACTGTCATGGAGTCACTTCTGACTCAGCCTATAGGACATAGTAGGTCTCCCTAGTGCTTCCAAAGTTCCAATCTCTGTGAGGAGAAAGCTTCATCTTCCGCTGCCATGAGTACAGAAGATCAGAGACTCTGAAAATCCCTCTTGCTTCAATAAAACTAGATCTCACATGAATTAAAGCAAGCATATTTCTTAATGCACTCTAAATCAAAAAGGAGAGGTAGGAGTGAGAGAGCTCCCTAACAGGAAGTCTCTGGGTATCAAATATGACGTTTGTCATTTGGACTTTCACTCATGGCAGCTTATTTCTTTGTGTGGTTTTGTTGATGAGCTCACATTTGGTCGAACTTAATACATGGGAATCCTTAGGTCATAAACAAGAATAATTTCTGTAATACAGCACCTGAATTGACATCTGCCTGGTGGCCAAACAGCACACTTTATTTTATCTTAATGAAACTACCTAGGTTGGACTCTCCTCTTTCAGGCTGAAGCAGCTGGATTCCAGTGTTAATATTACCAACCGCCACCAGAGCGAAACTGGGTTTTGTACTCACCTACCTCAATCTTGTCCAGGTTCAGATCACAGAGAAGCAAAGAGACAGAAAAGATGAGAGAGGGGTTAAGAGACATAGATATAGAAAACAGAGCAAAAAGTCTAGTGTATGTTTCGTCTAAGTCCCTGGAAAAGAGTGTATAGGATAAAAGCAACTCAAAAAAAAAGTTTTAGAATTCTTCAGAACTGCTAACGGGCATCAGTCCTCTGATTTAAGAAGACTAGCTACTCTCTAACAAGATAAATCATCAGAAACCACTTAGAAACATAGGACTGAAATCCCCATTCACCAGAGACAAAGAGAGGATATTCAAAGAAATGATATAGTAAAAGAAATGAAAAGACAAAGGTAATAATAATAAAATAATTTTTAAAATAGGAATCCATCATCTATAAAGAAACCAACAATTAGAATGAAGCTGGCTTGCCAACAGTAAGAATGGGAATCAGAATCAAATGTTCTCTTTGAAACCAGAAAGTAATTGTCAATCTAGACCACCGGTTCTCAACCTGTGGGTCGCGATCCCGTTGGGGGGTTGAATGACTCTTTCACAGGGGTTGCCTGATTCATAACAAACAATAGCAAAATTAGTGTTGAAAAAGCAACGAAAATAATTTTATGGTTGGGAGGTCACCACAAATAAATGATGTACAAATGCGCTTTACACAATTGAAGTGTGTATGGATTGCGATAACAGTTGTATGAGCCCCTAGTAAAATGTACAGATATAGACAATATAAAAACAAAACTAATTATTTAAAATTATTTAAATTATATAAAATTATTTAAAAACCACAAAAAAAACATGAGGAACTGTACTAAAGGATCGCGGCATTAGGTTAAGTTGAAACCACTGATATAGACGATCTGTACCTAACAAAAATAAATTATAGGAATAAAAGCAATAAAAGGATTTTCAGATTGGGGGATGGGGGAAAGGGGGGTAGAATTTGCCACCAAGCAAGCCTTCACTAAAAAGAAAATTCTGAAAGATGAGCAGAAGGCAGAAGGAAATTCCCAGATGTGGTAGAGTAAACTTTATTAATATGGCTCTTCTATCCATGTCTCTGTAACACCCACCAAATGTCTGGGTGAGTTATGCAAACAGGGTGCGTACAAGACTGATAGAGGGAATTGGTCAGTTTTCATTACCACCATTCTCCAACCTGCCCCATCCCACCCCTGCAATAAGGATGAGCCATCTTTGAAGCAGTAGCAGAGAAAGGCCAGAGCCATGGGACGAGCATGTTCCAAATCTCTTTCTGAAATGGCACAGGCTGAGACCAGAGGCACCAGAGACTGTGGCACTGAGATTATGAGACAGAGCAAGAGGCTCAGCAGAATGGAATTGTGAGTCAAATGTGACAGGTAGGCTGGCTTCCTGGCCCACTGGGGCAGAAGCCAAGAGACCACATACATGACTGAGAGGCTAATGACCAGAGGGGGACTTGGCTGCTGGCTGAGGAGAGATGTTGCTGTGGACCAAGGACTATATTCTTACTGTTTACTGTTCCTGACTTGTGGCAACCTATTTATTTCCCTAGTAAATTCCCATAATTGTAAGTATTATCTATGAGTTCTGTGGATATTACATAAGTTACTGAATTCAGCATAGATATAGAGGGCAATAGGAAGAACGGTTGAATCAAAATAGGTACAGAAGGATGGCGGGTGAAGGCATTTCTGATCCCTGCCTCAGAGCAATAGGGAAGCCATTCACTGCATCAGAAGTAAGGTCTATGATGCAAGGGGGAAAAGCACAAAGTAGTAACTCCCTGAGTTTGAGATCAAAGACTGTACATTCTGAACAACAACAGCATGTGAGTTGGAAAGGAGGCAAGTATCAGACCTGAAATGTTTGAACGGTCTTATTCCTGTGAGAAGGCAGATAAAGAATCAGCTCAACTTTAGACTCAGAGTTTATATGCCATCATTTATAAGGTAACTACTTCAAAAACAAAAACCGAACTCACTGCCATCAAGTCAATTCTGCTTCATAGCAACCCTATAAGATAGGGTAGAACTGCCCCCCTGTGTTTCTGAGATGGTAACTCTTCATAGGAGTAGAAAGCTTGGTCTTTTGCCAGCAGAGTGGCTGGTGATTTTTGAACTGCTAACCTTGCAGTTATTAGCCCAATGTGTAACCACCACATGACCAGGACTCCTTCAAGGTAATCACTAGCAAAATGAAAAGAGCACATGTAATTTCCATAGCAGAGACCAAAAAAAAAAACCCCCGAATAGGAAAATTTGTATTCAACCAATCAAAATAATTTTGAAATAAGGCAGTATAGGAGGGGAAAAAATACAAATATATCCTTAAAAGATATAGGAGAAAAGAGAATCACAGGAAAACTGAGATTGAGTACAGATATAGACAATATAAAAACAAAACTAATTATTTAAATAACCAAAATAACCATAAAAAACTAAGTTCATCAGCTGAAAGCTAAGAAATGACTGGATTTTTAAAAAACCTAACTAAATTGTAGTTTTACATTAGACTTAAAGATATTGAAAAAAAATTTTTTAAACATTTTATTAGGGGCTCATACAACTGTTATCCCAATCCATACACACTTCAATTGTGTAAAGCGCATTTGTACATCATTCTCAAAACATTTTCTCTCCACTTAAACCCCCGACATTAGGTCCTCATTTTTCTCCTCCCTCCCCGC